ACGCGTTATAAAGAATCAAACGTTTGCATTCATCATGCTTTTTTTTTGAATTGCATATATTTAACATGCAACATGTATAAACTTACTGTATCACATCGATGAAGACATTCACATGAAAAACATGGCGCAAGATTAATCGATGCAGAGGTTTTAGAGGCATTTATCATCGATGGTGATATAGAAGATTTTTTATCAATTGTAGCAAGAGAACATGATAAACCGATACTGGTAGCAGACATGAGCAAAGAATGATGAGATAACTATTGCAAAAAGGGATTATGATTAAGAAGCCTAGAGATTTATACTATTTAGAAGAAGAAGAAAGCTTGCTGACAGGCAAGAAAGAGTGATGAGTCAAACGTTAGTCTTTTTTTTACCTTTTCAAACATAGGTGATTGAGATTGATATGGAACTGGTAATGAACGTCGTGAAGATATTTTCTATAAGAACAAATAAATTATTTTGACTAAGAAAAAAATATTACATAAGACAATCGTATTTAAGTATCTGGGATACTGAGTCATCAATAAAAACTTACTAATTTATCAATTTTCTTTAAATCTAATAAAATGAATTGATTTCTATGACTTTTCGAATCGATGTAGATAAATTTATGTGAACTAAAGTTGGTCTTTGTCATTAATACGTTATTTATCAAACTTCAAGTCTAGTATACATAATAATTCATTAAATCACTATAGAAAAATGATCTATTACAAGAGTCTATTGTATTCAACATTGTTGAAGTGGTATCGAAATTTTAAAAAAAGGCAGTCGAGTAATGTACTTACAACTTTTTAACCAAGGTGGCTAGAGTCTTATGGTCTTCGTTATTCGAGAGAAGCAATTATGGGGCGTCACTAGTACCTTCTTTCGAATCATGAAGGCCACAGTACTCTAACCATCCTGATTAAACAGTTATACGTTTTTCTAAAATTCCGATAATAAATATATTACTAAAAAAATGCAGCAGCATGAATTGTTTATCTATAGAGTATCTTATGATTTCTATTATCCATCGAAAGTTTTCATACCCAGCCACTGTCTGACTATACACATATACTTCGTATGTTAAACTATTACTTTCGTTTATAATTTTATTTACAATGGATTAGTTTACCTTCGATGGAATAGGAGAGATTGTTTCATTTTCATCAATATGATTAAGATTATCAGCATATGTTGCGTATGGATCGTTTTTCTTTTTTGATGTTTCATTGATATGCTGTTGAGTTGTTAATTGTATAGTTAAATTTGGTAAACTACCAGTCCACATATTTGAACTATGATTTGATGAACGTGTTGATGATGAAACAGATGGTGGTGTACGATCATTACTTAATGATTCACCATCAGAACGAAGATCAGGTACACTTGCACCATGTATTAAATTTTGTTTTTTTGTTCGTGGTGTTTCTAATTTTGGTATGTTTCTAAAAAGAAAATATTTTTGTT